GATGGGCTTGGTCACACGAATGTAAAACCACGGGACCAAGGGGAAGGACTTTCCATTGGTAATGCTGACCCAGGTACAGGAAACGCAGGAACTTTCTCTTGGTTGGATGAATAGGGATGTGAAGATATTCATTTGGCAGATCTATGCTCACCAAGTAGTTGTCGGGCTTTATGAGATGTCTTAAGTCTGGTAGATGCAGCATTTTGAACTTCTCGGGCTTCAACAGGTAGTCTAAGTTGAACTTCTGCATGCTGCAGATGAGGTGGAGTTTTCCTGTGGAGTTTTTCTTTGGTACAGGGAAAATCGGTTAGTAGAAACTCAGGGATAATGTGTCTTGCTGAATAACCTCTACTGCCCCTTTGGTGAGAAGAAAGTTGATGGCCTCTGTCAATTTCAGTCTAAAGGGCTCCGGATAAAGTATAGTTGACAGGTGAGTAGTCAGAGGAGACGTGGCCTTCAGCTGGATCCTGCAGCCTTTGCTAAGGACTTGAGTCACAAACGGGTCCAATAAGTCATGAGAGTAGTCAGAGGAGATGTGGCCTTCAGCTGGATCCTGCAGCCTTTGCTAAGGACTTGAGTCACAAACAGGTCCAATAAGTCATGAGACGTCCACCCATGGTAGGTTCTACGGAACGGCTAGGGTGGAAGCAACTAGTCATGTAGAGGGGCCTATTGTGTTGTTGGCTGGTTTGCGAAAAGAAGATGATCTGGACCTCTTGTTCAACCTGAACTTTTTGTCTTTGGCCTTCTGGATCCCCGAAAAGTGACGTCTAAACTGGGTCTTCTGCATAGATTGTTTGAACATCCAATTTATCGTCCAGATGGATTTGATGAGCATCTGGTCTTTGGAGTTATGAGTTTGCCATTTACTGATAGATCCATCGAAGATGGTGGACACCCAGAGGGCTTGCACATAAGTGGCTTGATATAGTGATCGGACCATTGGCAGGTGGAGAGTAGACCCTGATGATGAAGAAGAGTAAGGCCAGTCGATGTAGATGGCATGTATGATGTAGTCCTGGTTCCTCTTCTGCGCCTCCATTGCTGACAGGATCATCCTCTCACATTCTGTGTGCGGTTTCGCCAAAGTGTTCAGCATAGCCTCATTGATAGCACGGGACATTGCAAGACCATAGAAGGTCTTCCTGGTAGAGGTATCAAGCTGTGCCAACTTCTTATCTTTTACCCTGTAAGATCTTGCTTTGGAGTCCCTCATCAGTGAGAAGTCTTCAACTACAGTAGAACATGGATATAACGAACTCCAAGGGACCAAGAAATTTAGTTTGCTATATCAGTTGTTCGTTATTCACATTTGACCGCCATCTTGGATTGTAGAGATGTACTCTTATCCAGGTTTTTTATCCACTCTGTGAATAATTCACCAGTCATCCAGGCCTGGGCATTTGATCTGTACGTTACTGGCAAACTGCGTACATTTTTTAACTTTTTCACTCCCAGTCAAAATCTAAATGACCTAACTTAGATGCCAATTCATTTGCCTTAGTCTGCAACTTGGGACCATTTAAGGGAATATTCTCACTTCTAGCCCCTTGAAACCATTTGTAGAGAGCACCTTCTACATCTTGGTGATTGGCAGCTCTTAACTTTTTGCGGGCAGGGCCAAAATCAGCAGACTGCAAGAATAGATTTGCGATTCTTATTAATGGAACTGAGAGTTGATTTTGGAATGCCAAAGTCGAAAGCGATGTTTGTCTTAGATTTTACACCTGAATCTACAGCCTGAATTATCTGAAGCTTGGTGTCAAAGGCGATAGCTTTACGTTTGCCTGCCATAGTGACGAGAGTGAACTGAAGACTTGTATACCAGTCAAGCTTTTAAACACGTTATGTTTGTTTGGTTAATTAATTAATGACCATCAAGCAATGTTGATTCGCCGCCAACAAGGTTGATGTATACCGCTAAGTGGCTGAGCTGACACTGAGCTGACACTAAGTGAGTTCGCTAATCACGTCGTTAATTGGGTCTTGGGGGTAGTAAATCAGTTCGCTATAGCCGTTATTCGCTACTCATGACTTTGTTATTCGCGTATAATTTTAATGATATTATAAAGGACTATTGACGGGACTTTTAAATTTGTTCGCTATATCCGTTTGTACGCTATATCCATGTTCATTATATCCATGTTCTACTGTATTTCAGGAGCCTTGTTAAACCATGTTATGCAGAGGGAACTTCTTCACATTAAACTATGTCCTTGCAGCTTGGTGGCCTTCATGAAGGCTGACTTCAGGTTGCCTGCTACCTGGGATACTGGCTTCATAGGCGGGATGGTGAGTGTGTCAATGTTGTCCTCCTGGATGCAACAGGTGTCCGCAGGTGGAGAATCCCCTTGTGGGTGAAGAGATTGGGAGTCCATTCGCAATCCATAAACAAATCTTGATCACCATAAATAGATGCGTTGAGGTCCTCCTTAGAAGCGTCGTCCGCGGCTGAGATGCTGAAATTCTCTGGATGAGAATCCTTGTCAGCAGAAGGTGTAGGAGTAGACTGACTGAGTCGCCTGTCAATCTCCATAGTTGCATTTGCAACTAAATGCTGCTGCTGCATGAATAAGAGGACTTGCTGGGTGATGGAAGCCACCAGGTCTGGCTACTGTACAATGGGCTGGGCCTGTGCAAAGTCTTGTCTCTGGCGTCTGCATCATAGGCTGCTGAGTGGAGGGTTGAGCCTGCGCATAGGGTAGATTCTGAACAGGAGCCTGTGTCTGTGTGAACATCTGCGGCTGCACTCGGGGCTGTTGAAGACGAGAGTCTGGGTTGACAGCCTGCAAGACGGACGTCTTCTGACAGTGACTGTCCGATGACTTCTTCGGGTTCAAACAACGAAAGAGCCTGGGTGAAGGAGTGATCTTCAGCATCATAGTCGGTTGAGAGCTGCGGGGCTTGTGCACAGGCTTCCAGGTCATCAAGGTCTTCACGCACAGCTGAAGTCATCGTAGAGGAGGGCTTTGTCATTGACTCCTTATGAGATGATTTCTTCAATTTCGCCAGCATAAGGAGATCGGACCCTGCCCCGAAGGGGCCTTCCTTTTAGAATGGGACAACTGTGTAAGGAGCTCGGGGGACAGGTACTATATCCTGAGAATACCATGTGGGAAACACCATAGAGGACTGGAATGAAAGTGAATTAACATTCATTGGTATAACTTCATCCCCTGGGGAAAGTAGTGGAACAAACTCACATTCAGGGGCTTGATTTTGAGACTTCTCAGCTAGTGTTGGGAATTGGTTAAAATCTCACAATTGATGATTGGTTCATTACAACCGATCAATCATCGAAAAAAATTGGTTAGCGTCATTCATGAAATTTTCCTGGTTAATTTTGTTAATGCACAAAAAATAAAGAAAAAACATGCAGTTCCTTGGGGTGTTTTTTGCACATTGCACATCTTTAAAGATGACTAGTATGTTAGGAACATAAATTTCTTGTCGTCTTTAAAATAAATTCAGTTGTGACTTGGAACGAGCATGTAGTGCTCATGAAATGTAACAGACAAAACCAACCATGTGAAAATGTTGTTAATGCAAAAAGTGTTTAGTCACTGCAACCAATCTTCAATGTTTTCAATTAATTGGACCACCACTATTCTCAACCACCGATCTCGTACTTTGAAGCCTTTTCTTGTCCATCTTTTTCTCCACCAAATATAACAAATAACAATCAAATTCAATATCTGATAAATGAGCACAATAATTACACCTGGAGCTAAGGCTACAGGCAAAAGAACAACAGGAAAAGCACTCAATGTTAGGATCGTAATCAGATATTCTGTATCTGCAAACACGGTCTCATAAGTAAACACTGCTCTGAAAACAATGATAACAAGCAAAAATTGAGTCCAGAGACACGGATGCCCCCGTTGCTGTAGGAAGAGTTCACACATTGAACTTGAAACTTGAAAACACTAAAAACAATGTGTTGAGGGGTTAGATAACACAACCTATTATCATATAACGATCAATAATTGAACAAAATTCATGAACAAGTTCAATAAACATCTATGCAACTGTGAGATGCACACACAGATGAAACAGACGTATAAGCTTAAAATTCTGTTGAGCAGTTTTTGTGGAGAAGTGGATAGACTTAATCCCCTATTTCACTATCATCAGAGAGAAATTCAACAAAATTTATCTAAGTTCAAATGTCTCTAAACATACAAAAAAATATAAAATACAAAAACAAAATATGACATGCACACCTTTAGAGTCCCAAGAAAGCCCATGTATAAGTTAATTGCATTCTACAGAGCGGTTTTTGTGGAGAAGTGGATTGAGTGCATTCAGTGTTTCAAACGGACGGATGGACACGGAGGGTAACCCTATATGCCCCCAGCCATATATGGCGGGGGCTTAAAAATCCAATGAATTAGCCACCAATCTATAAATATAACCCATGAATAAGATGTCAAAAGGATATAAGATGCATATACAAGCAGTAATTTAGATATATAGGCTGAAATATAAGAGCGGTAGCTTGTATAAGGACTAGAGGAATCCACCCAACCATCCGGAGAGAGATTCACAAGCAGCCTATGATCACGTGGGACGCTGGCACGGGAAGAGGGAGAGGCCCATTTGGGGGGTATCTATTTTTAGCCTGTTCATTAGGGAACAATAGGACAGAGGTTTCCACTGTACCTCAGTAGAAAGGGAGATAAAGCAATAGCGTATGAGTCAGGATAAGGAAAAACATTAGGTCTTTATTAATAGGCTGCTTCTACATAATGTTCAGGATGCAGTTTTGTTCATAATACAAGCATAAATATGTCACCATTCACCATTGATGTGAAATATGTTGATTTCTTTGAGATTTTAGTTTTCATTATTGCTCAAAGTTACTTCTCAGATATTTATCAATAAGTGATCAATATTCAGTTGATGATTATCAACTTCTTTGATCTCACACATAATTCATTGAATTTGGTTGACATTTAATGAATGGTAACAACATTTGTATCAGTAAAAATCGATATTACCTATGCGATAGACTCCTGTCAGATCATGGCGTGCCACCACTGCTTGTCCAACCCACTCATTTTCACACTTGTGTATCTCCCTTATGTCATGTCTGTATTTCACCTGTGGGATCTTGAACACTTCATCACGTTGCAACACAGCTATTTTGTTGTCATAGAAGCGAGCACGTACATTCAGTTGAGGGAGAAGCTCAATGATGAAGGCAGGAGCATAGCTGAAACTGTAGCTTGGATGTAGGCCAATCACAGTGTCACCAACCTGAAATAGGTGAAGAGAATATGTCTGATGAAAAAAGATGTGCCATGGCTCTGTGGTTCACTTATGTCGTCAGCCTGAAACCATAAATACTGTTTGGAGGTGCGGTTGATTTGGAGGTGGAGGTGAGGTGAAATTGGGTTTATCGTCGTGCTTGAGAATATTTCGCTCATATGACGACGTATGTGTATGTGTATGTGCGGCTGATTGTACTAGCCCAGACTGAAGCTAGTTTTATAGTGATAGCCCACTGAGATACCAAGCCGCAGTGAAGCATGAATAGCCCACTCAGACACATTATACTGACTCCGAGCCGACCAGTTCTTGTTGCACCCATTAATGCCGAGCGCCAGACAGGGACCAACAAGTACCATATTTTTATCGTCTTTTGGTATGACGTGGTCGGGGATCGAACCCGCGACCTTCCGCTCTCCGGGCGGACGCTCTAACCACTATACCACGGAGGCGGTTAAATACTGTTTTGAGCTCACAGGGATGCATCTATCATTTCAGAAAATTGTGTTAATTTCACCCACTTATTTCAGAAAGTAGGCCAACACCTATCTTGACATGAGTGATTGAGTTTAACTTTACGCGCCGCACTCAGCAATATTCCAGCTATATGGCGGCAGTCTGTAAATAATTGAGTCTGGACCAGACAATTTAGTGATCAACAACATGAGCATCGATCTGTGCAATTGGGAACCGATGACATGTGTCAACCCAGTCAGCGAGCATGACCACCTGATCCAGTTAGTCGCCTCTTACAACAAGCATGGGTTACTGAAGGCCAATATTCTAACACGGGTCCTATCTGGACATGAGCTGATATGTTAGCATGTAAGTGTAGATAGTATTTTAAGAATTATTATCTCTGTTGATAATACCTCAAAATTCTTGCCAATATGTTCCTCCAACACTTGATTAACCAAATTTTGTATAGGCCTGGTGTGGCCAGAGTAGCCTACATCAGGATAGGAAGACAATCATACTACTCACAAATCTAGATGTTTACTAATAAGACAAATGGACCTGCATTTGGTTGTTGCCGAGAACGTCTCTTCCTACTGTACTTAACTCATTAAGCCCAAGAGGCACTTCACTACTCAACATCTGGAACCCCTCGCTGATTGCCTGATTGATTGATTACAAACAAGCTCTGATTGTTTAATTGTGTCATAAAGATATATGTTGACAGAAAGCAGGTGTGAATGCATATCATATATTGCAACGTTTCATGTAATTTTATTACAAGTTTCTCTTGTAGTATAGACCTTTGGCGGCTTGTACATTTATATTTTATCAACATGTATGTATTCTTCATATGTAAGAGATGAGACATACATAAACAAATTCTCTTTCTCATATCATTGTATGAGGTTTAATTTTACAAAAAATCTATGACAATGACAGACTGTAAAGAAGAATTTACGTACATGCTTTATAATCTTCTATGAAATTAGTGTTTTTGCTGATACATTTCTTTTGTGTGCTGAATATTTTAAGGAAAGTACATTCATAGCTTGGTACTTTGTTTCATCTAGATTTAATGGCAGAAAACATATGTTATCATATGAACATGCATATAAATTTTTATTATACATATTCCTTGAATAGACATAAAACAAAGAGTCATGTGATAGGGCTGTCATCAAATTTCAAGAATAGAACATTCGATATCTCAACCGTTCAACTCAAGATATCATTAACAGTTTGTGTATTGTAAACATACATAATCGTAACGATGTATGAAATATATACATATGACAAATAGGAGTAGATAGACACTTTGCCGAGTTTATTTGTCCTCAGAGATCAAAAACACATTTGAGTGCTTTTCAATAAGTAAAACAAAGCGATTGAAATCCAACCATTGAGTAGAGATAGTATTTATTTTCACATACATTTTACACACACAACTAGTACATAAAACATAATGGTTTGCTGTACATGTAAATATAATCTTCACCTTGATACGAATGAATGTCCAAATTAAAGTACACGTACAAAAGAATTCAAAAAGTGACACGATACTGAATTATTATATTGTATATGGGTCATTTTCAAAATTGGTAGGATTTTCAATTCTTTATTACAGTAAAATCAAACTCCTCAAAATTGATTTAATTTTTATTCAAATAAAACCTCAAAACACTTAATTATTCAAAAATACAAACATGCAGGCTGAAATGTACTAATTGACCTTTTAATTGATACATAAGTAATTACAAGGGTGGGGGACTGTCCTGACCGTTACCACTTCTTAATCAGAATATGGATTTTGAAATATAATTCATAAAAATCTTTTAAAGATGACAGACACAGCTTTTACACGGACTTAATCAAACTTGAAGGTAAAAACTATCATCATGAATCTTGAAAGTGTAATTTTGTATCTTTCATTTATTTACCACAAAATGATAGCATTTTTCTAAAACATTATTATGTATATAGCTTTCAACAGGTAAAATTGTGTAAAATAAACATCAGCTACTAAGCCCAGAACATCTTTTGATGACACCAACATAAAGGGGAGTGTTTCATGTATTATCATGAATTAATTACAGCAGTCAATTAACACCAGTAACGGTTAGGACAATAGTGGTAACGGTTTGGACAGGAATGGTAACGGGTTGGACATAAGCCTTAAACAGTTTAATTCAACATAGAAACAGGTAACATGAAAGGAAAAAAATGATATCATTTACTTGAACTGCTAACCCTATTTTGGACTGACTGACTGAGTTTGGTTTTACGCCGCTTTTAGCAATATTCCAGCAACATCACGGCGGGGGACACCAGAAATGGGCTTCACACATTGTACCCATGTGGGGTTTCGAACCAGGGTCTACGGCGTGACGAGCCAACGCTTTAACCATTAGGCTACCCCACCGCCCCCCTATTTTGGACAGACAGTGAAATGTGTAATAGAAATTGTAACTCATAACTAATATGACATGTTTTCTTCCATGCTGTGGTAATTTGTTATATCAATATAAAACTTGTGAATGAATTTAGGCTTTTGAATAAAAACAACTGTAGCTTCTAAAGAATAGAAAAACATACCTGTCTAGATTGAAAATCACTTATAATCTATAGAAGAGTGCAATTGGGGAACGAAAATTGAATGAATAGTAACGGTTGTGACATTATTGGTAACTGTCAGGACATCAGTGTAACAAACAAATGTTATCCCTCTAAAATGTTGCAAAAGATTATTTTCTGAAAGGTACTGCAACAAGTATGATACTGTACACATGGTCATGCTACACAGGCCACTGCATAGATGTCATTTTGCTGTTGATATTATGGTGCAATATTAGTCTCCACGAAATATACTTCTTTCATTCACTTGGATACCTTTAGCTTTTGTTGATAGTGAGATGGTAACACATATTTATCAAATACAAAGGCCAACATATTAGCACCTATCAATATTCTAAGTAAATGCTAATCTTACATATCTCACAAAGTCAAAACAGACTACACCAAAACAATCTTTAAAGGTTGGAATACAATTAAGTTGTTTACCGTTACCACATTTTGTTCTAACCGTTACCTTTAATTCATAAAGACTATACATCTTATAGAAAATAGAAACTTAACATGATAAATCCGTTTTGGTTTTTATTATTAAAAGCAGATAGATAAGTAAATAGAAATTTATTATCACACCATAGAACATATTCTTCAAAATTGAAATTTATTAAAGAAAATTCCCGACCGTTACTATTATTTGTCCAAACCGTTACTAGAGACTGTGTTTTTTATGCTACTACATCAAAACTCCTTTGAACAGTACAAGTCCATGCTTAAACTATCTTAACTCTTAAAGAAATTATAAATTTGTTATACTTCAAATATTAATGAATAACTTTTTGAAATGCAAATTATTTTGTCCTGACCATTACAAGGACTGTCCAAACCATTACTTTGCAGAATGGTAACGGTTTGGACAGTAACGGTCAAGACAATTTGTAAGTAAATCTTATAGTCCAGGAGGAGGCAGCTGAACAATTTCAAATCGTAGCCTCCCCAGTACTGATTTTGTTTGACACTATTTTCAGTTAGTATGATGTCTTGGGCTCATGAAAAGGCCTGTAATACTCTAAGATTGTGGTATCAGTTTTTCTTTACAGGCCATTATATGTGGTGGGGGTCTGCGAGCATTTTCGTTACATTTGGTTTGCTGCCCGACAACAGCTCAAAGTTAATCATTAATAGTTTTACTACTATCAATCTGATCACTTTCATTTTGACTTCTGTGTACTGCTAAAGGATGTAGAAATATTTGACATAATTTTGTTTTGAAAAAAACAAATCAAAATGGGCACCATTTTGGCCGCCATTTTGTTTTGTCGTGTTTTGCCTTCTCAGCACTTAAATTTACATAAAAATGAACACTGAATGTTTCCATTTACATCCAAAGTTGATAATATATTTTGATGTGTTTTGACACTTATTTCTCCTATAGTGATGGCTTGGGCATAAAACAAGTCATTTTGTATGGTCATATCGTAGTAATTTAATGTTTTACAGCTTATTCTTTGAGACAGGGGCATTTTAGCGATTCTCCGACTTTTCATGGAAATGTGCGAGGGTGATTTATTTAATGGCAGTTAACATATTTTTGTTACTAAAACAAGTTGTTTTTGTTTTCTCTTTACTTCTAGAGTGACGGCATATTATTATGAATGTTTACATATTACCCAGAATTCAAAATGGCCACAAAATTGCCGCCATTGTAGTTTAACTACATATACTTAGTGGAGGACTAAATTTGTACTGATATGAAATCCAAACAACTCATTTGGTGTCAAATGTTTAATACAGTATAGGAATAGAGCTAAAATTTCAATGATATGGTCAATCAAAGCTTCACGCTCCTAAAATATTTGATGAAATAACATTATCCAGAAGCGTTTGAAAACCATGCTTCATGGCCGATAACTACCTCTAAGCTTTGGTTGTAGGTATTCAAATTGTTCTATAAGATAACTCTT